TCGAATGCACAACGGACGATGCAGGGCAAAGGTTTCTGTTTTTGCTACACTAATGTCGGGGGAAGGCCAAAGAGGCTATACAAGGGTGCGCAATGCTGGACCCGGAAGTGGGCTACCAGAGAGCTAGAAATATACTGAAGGAGATGTTCGGTCAACTATTCCGAGTGGCACGAAACATGATTCACGGGGTGCTCAGAGTGTGGTGTTGATTTGTGGTAACGAGAAGGACACTTGCTCGGTGACCGCGTTCAGCTTTCACTAGTCAGGACAGGCGAAGCGACCCGCCTTTGTTCTTGACCAACACAATCGGTGAAGCCAAAGGAGATGAATATGGACGGATAATCTTGTTACGAAGCATTTCTTCCAGCATGTGCTTCAACTTGGCCTGTTGGTGGATTGGGACTCGGCGGTAGGGTTGGCGAATAAGGCGATGAATTCCAGTATTAGCGGAATGCTGTAGCTAGTTCGTACGGCCCGGGGCGGCGCGGTTCACATCAAAAACATCGGCATATTTTGACAATAGCATTATCAACGGTGTTCTATGGTCAGGTATTGCCTGTGCGTGTGTCAGAAGAACGTCGACCTAACTGGACTGCAATTAAACAAATGACACGAAGTAATTGTGCCCGACTGAAGGCTCCTCTCAACTGTTCTTATCGGCACCAATTACACCAGGCGAATTCGCTGTAATCTCGACCTAGGAGCAGGATTTCAGCTTCCATGCTGATGTGAATGACACCGCTTTTTGTTGTACGTCGATGTGAGCACCATGCGTAGTCAAGGGATCAATTCCTACCATCACATCACAGCTGATTGGCGCCACCAAGAATTTGTGCGTTAGCATCCTTCCTGAGATCTCCAGGCTTAGGACGACCTTTCCTTGGGAGTGAACTCGAGCGCCATTGGCTGTCACCAGGGCAACTTCCCTGGGTGGAAGTCCGTTGCATGCCTTTCACCAGTTCAGTTTGAACTATAGAGCAGGTGGCTCCAGTGTTAATCAACACCATCACACGCTGTTATAGAATGCCACTGGGAAGTGTAAAAGCACCAGGTAAGCAAAAACAGTGGTACCAAAATGTTATCTGGCCGCTTACCTGTTCGCTCTTTGGGTTGTTTCGGAGGGTTGTGCCTATAACGTTGGGCTCGTCGACCGCGACCGAGCGCAATATGGGCAGTTCTTCCGGGAGGTACNGGAGGTACTCCATTTCCGCTTCCAACAGCGAGCTGTGGGAGTAGGGATCATGCGATCGGAGTTTGGACGTGCAACTAAAGATAGCGCATTGCAGAATGCTCTAGCCTGGTGGCGACCTCCACTGCTTCGTCCAATGTCGGCGGTGGACGACGCAGTAACTGTACCCAAGCATCAGGCTCACGGATGCCAGTGCGAAATCGGTCCAGGACCTTCCTTCCGACCTCTTCAGCCGAAACGCCCGGAAACGCTCGATGCGCCAGTTCCTGCGGCGCCTCGAAATAGTCCTGTATCGACTCGGGCTCCGTCTGCTTGCGATTTAAAAAACGTCCAAGGTAGATACTGGTATGTGTAGTATCGCCGAATACTTGCCTTAAGCGGCTCCATACTGATTCGGGGTCAGCGTCTGGGGGCAGGCAACAGCTGAGGAACCATTCATCCGTCTTTATCGGCCAGGTATCCGATAATAAACGAATGCCGCTCTGTCGCCGGCTGCATGCGCAGATAATTCTTCATCCGTATCTCTCAAAGATGGAAGACGTCCCCGGGGAGCGTGCTATTCTTATCCAGACTCATTTTATTTCGTTCAGATTTATTAAATTACGCTCACAGTAACACTTGGCTCTTGTTTTCAAGTTGTTTCGAGATCACTTGGAAGTTTGTACAGATTTTATTTGCTTATTTGATCGTGTTTTAATGCAGTACCTCAGAAACTTGCTAGATCGTTCCTTTTATTGCCGTTTTGGGATCCGAATTCGGCTACGCGTTACTCGTTGATCTATTCGAGAGGCACAGCCAGCACACAGTACCATACGGTACCATATGGTGGTTTGATTACCCTGAGTTCATTCTAAAAGGTAACAGTTTTAAATATTTAAAATTTTTTTCTGATATGTTCATATATGAATAGATTATTTTTTCAATAAATAAAGATGCACATTTTCCCCTTTTTGTTTTATTTTTTTGACGTCGAAACACGTTGCATGGTTCCAACATGTACCGAATGCTGGATTAACGTCAAGGATATGCTTGTTTTGTGAATTGGGTACGGAACTCACGCAGCACGTATGAAGGCTCGCCGGGAGGCTCTGAAATAATAGCAATAGACACTCGTTACCACCGACACTCGATCGCACCTCTCACTGCCAGACACGCTCACACAGGGAGAACACGGCTGTTGCGCACGAACGTATATTGACGCACGGGTCGAGCGGCAAAACGTAATGTACAAACTGTATTTGGGGAAGGTTCCTATCGATCATGAGTTTTCATGTATTTCTTGACTCTTCTGATTCTTCGTTGTTGGTGCTCACTGTATTCAACCTGTCCTGAATTGTCGTGGATGAAGGCGACGGACCACTGGGCAGCGGCCGAGAAGCCAGGGTCTTTTTTCTTTTGCTTTAGCGACAACCATCAAGCACAATTATGTTAAAACAGAAGAAAGTACAGTCAATAGAACCTCAATGGTAGCCATCAGACCTCTTCGCACAACGATGGAAGTTTCAAACGAATAGATATCGGCCGTTTTGACGTCACTCACGATGATACTTAGGGAGATGTACCGAAATCTGATTGTATTATGGGACGAGTATCAAACGAACTAATTTGTCTGAGGATGGTTACCATGCAAGTGGAGATTCCACGTTGTCTAGTACAGGCCGTGACATTTCTAGATAATAGATCACGTACCACAATGCTGAGGGAGAGTGTTGCTGATGAACATGATTTGCGGCCTGATTAGCACGGTTACTGGCGGGCATGCAGTAGAACCATCTCGAAATGAGATTTAGATTGACCTTCACATTGATGAATAAACCATCCAGTTTCATTACGCACTTATTATCTGGAGCTTGCTAAGGAAAGCTTCAAAATGTATCAAGTCACTGGTGCGGTGCTGAACCCATCTGCACGACCAACTGTTGAAAATGTGCCGGAAACCTGAGTAGATATTTTGATCGGCTGCGACGTGCCCGAGATGTGTTGAATTTGAGATCAACATGTAGGCGGCTGTAGGAGGCCCTAATCCTTTCGCATGATTTTTGGATAGGTACTCTGCAGGCCACTTGTCAATGATGGTCACTACTCAGTACCGATAAACAACCCCTCACGGCCGGGTACTCCAAAGGAGACGGCACGAAACGGCAGTATATCCATGAATTTGGGGACGTAGCAGAAGATCAAGGATACATTTTTAAGGAAATACCATGTAACCATTGTGATCGTCACGGACGGGAGTGAACAAGTCGAAACTAATTCAAGTACCGTCTCCCTAGACACCCGGATCGTATCAAAGCTCGATAATCAAGAGGCACCGCTCCGTAGTCTAAAATATCCAAAGAGGCAGTTGAGAAGAAACGCAGACTTGAAAGCAGCGTACCCGAACGCCATGAAGTGAAAATTGAAGTTGAGCTACATCGAGCGCGCAGTTGGAAGTGTTCAGAAAGAGCTACCAGTGTGGTATCTACTGCACCAACCAGATATATACTTTAAGAAACCTCAGAAGATCAGATATGTTTTCGACTGTCGCAATCTGTGATGACATGGCCCTTAACGACCGTCTTCTACAAGGCTCAGAACTGACGACTCCACCGATCGAAATACTAAACGGATTCTGTTTAGGGTCGATTGCGATCATGACAGGTTCACCACAGTTTAAGGTCCCCGGAGAGCAAAGGGACTTATTACGGTTGTAATGCGGGTCGAAAGAGAAGCTAGACCTGCCAAGGTGTATCGCATGACGGTGCACTCATTTCGCGCAATATCCTCCCGTTCTGTACAAACCTCAGGTTAAAAAATACCGTTTGCTAAGCGTTTTGACCTCCAGCTGACTTCTTTGTGAAGCATAATGTTTTCGTTCACGATTTGTGGGGTGCCTTTCACAGCGTTGGCGAAGCAGTGCAAAAGATTAGTGACCCATCTATGCTATTGCTCAAGAGTTTGTTCAAGTTAACAAAGTGTATGTCCAATGGCCGTCAAGCAATCCGTTGCATCCCAGTAGGTAAGCGGTAACCGTGTCTCCAGTATATACAGACAAACGGGGAACTTGGTGTGCAGTCAGATGCGGAGACCTATTAGCTCTTGTCACTTTTCCCGCTACCGGAAAAGAGGCTGCCACTAGAGGGTTTCTGTCTTAATTGTCTAACCTTTACGATCCATTGGGCTTTGTCTCTTCGGGGTTAGCTTTTTCTGCAGGACCAATGTAGAGAAAGAGTGACTTGGAATGCGGCCCTATACGATGTGGATCGAAGGACCTGGTAAGGCTGTTGGATGAGCCTATGCAATCTGGGTAACATACAGTTACCTCGTCCCATACAACGAATACGATTAGGCAATTTGAACAAGTTTCATGTCTTTGCGGACTCAATGGATTTTGGATGCAGCGTAAAGTATTTCAGTTGCTCTTCTTGAACAGGTGAGAGGTGGTGTAATAATCTGCCGTTCGCAAAGGCCAGAGCTACTCATCTCAACGCAGCCTGAATACCCAAACTAGGATTGGCTGCAGCAGTCATAGCCGTAAGGGAAGAATTACTAATCTGGGAACACTGTATTCGGAATCCCCCGTAGGACATTCTTGGTTCTATCTAAAATATTCATGTTTACTCTGCTGTTATCCCTTTCTTCCTTACACTTCAAGACGACCGATGCATCAGGAATACCAAGCTGACATAGCCCAGTAATACCCTGAGGCTCGCAGTGCAAGAAAATGGACTCAATTTCGCTCGATTCTTAAGTCCTTGGACCTGAACTGGCCTGCCCTGTTGTAGGCCTTTCAAAACTAACCTACGAAGAGAGATTGCAAAGGTTAAACCTGTGCAGTCTTTCTCACAGATGTCTAAGCAGGAAACTGTTACTGATGCACAAAATTGCAACAAAACCAGATCACTCCAATAAGGAGCTACCAACCCCGTCGTCTAACCAGCATTTACGGGGTCACTAGATCCCTGGCAGACACCAACAGTGCCGGAATAAAAGCAGACGGATACACTTTTCTGTGCGAAGCATATCTGCATGGAATGAGCTCCCGGAGGACGCTGTCTCCGCAACCACAACGCATTCTTTCATGAATAGATTTGAACGTTTGTCGCCATTTAGGATTCTTTTGAAACCAGGGGAATTGGACACCCAGCCCACAAAGTTTGATGGACCGCTGGTCGGTAAGAACACTTATTGGCGGACCGCAAACGTCGATTAGCTTCAAACATACCTGATACGGCAATTATCGTAGATATTAGTTTAAATGCACATACACTAACCCATCAGTTTGCTCAGGCCTTGACTGAGTATCACTGGTTGTTTTATGTCCAGAAATCCTCAGCCCACCTTCAGTGGTTCCCTCAAGTAACTGGCTGGGATTGAGTCTAAAACGAAAATATCGTTACAGAGTCTCATATGGATACCAGATATTTCGGAGAACACTCAAGAAACCGGGAAATATAAGCCAAGGAGCCTTCTCCGCCTGTGAATTGGACATTGGACATTAGATCGAACCTGAGCTTACAAAGCTTTTGTGCACTTGCTGTGTACTTTACCTCCCTTAGAAAACCTGATACAAGAAGCACAGAAGACGCAAACTTGGAAACCAGGAACACCAGCCGGTTACATAATAAGCTGGATGCTCGAATGGCAAAAGCCATTATTCGCCCTCTGAAGACTAGTCTCTAACCTGACGATAACATGAGTGCTGCGCAGTTTGAAATTTGGAAAAATCTGTGTTGCTGCTAAAATTGTCGGTGTTGAAGCGAAATCAAGTTAGTCATTTC